GTGTGTGTGTGTGTGTGTGTGTGTGTGTGTGTGAGAGAGAGAGTTTGTGGGTTCAGTGTGTTTGGATATGCTGACTTTGCCATTGGCCTTATACTTCTGCCCGTCACACCTCACCTTTGTCTACAACTGTTTGTCGCTCGAAGCTCAAGTTGGTCTTTTTGCTGTTTATAACAGTGTATATTTATTCGATATGTTAAGCATGTAAATATGAAATACTGGTCGAGTGTAAAGTCCATTTTCAAATTTGTATGCACTTGCATTACCTGGAAGTGGTGGTGTCTAACGTGTAGAAGACTCTGGATTAGAGTCTTGTTTGGTTTTATATATTGTTATATGAATATATTTACACACAACGCAATATAACATTGTGTATATAAGTGCACCTTGTTTCGAGTGCCCATCAGAACAGGAGCTAAAGGACTGTTGTCATATGAGAACCTTGTAACTACAAAATATTCAAGTTACCAAAGTTTCCCATATTTTAATAATTGAACTCATTTAGACCAAAAATTAAACTTGAGGATGATATCATTGCTTTAACTATGAACTGATGTCATTTCCAACATGTAATGTCCTTCTCTATTTCTTTTCAAGATAGTTTTTTTTTGGGGGGGGGGGGGGTCTGCAATCTTTGAGTTGCTTACAAATTTTATTTTTAATTTGTTTTTTTTTTTTTTTAATTCAACCAGGACCATAATTTTTGAAGGTACAAGGTTGTCATCTGACAGCATTTTTGTGACCCAGATGCGACAGAGAGGACATGTTAACTGCATATGCTTGGAAAATGGACATGTGCATAGCAAAGCAGAACAGACACTTCGATCGTTGCTTTATATCAAAATATACAAATTGCTTATTTTATCTCAGCACCTTGTTAAAACCGAAGCTTATAATGAACATCTTTAAATGGCAACTGCTAATTTATAAGATACAAGTTTGAGAAACATAAAGTCATAAATTGTCTCCTGTTACACTTACTGCACATCATGTACGTAAAAGTAGATGTCACTGCAACAGTATTGGTGGCATGCTATAATACGCACGGCACTCAGTTGATCTGCGGTAACAGCAAAATGGTCTTACAGTACGTAACTGTGCTACTGTGTAAACTGTTCCTGACCAAAATTTTGTTCAGTACTAACATTGTTTATCTATGTTCATGCTTTTTGGTCCTAGTTGTCCAAATGGTTAGCCTGATTTAGCACTATCTGCATGACAGGTGATTTTTGTTATTTGTCAAATTCGATAATACATTTAGGTCCACCGGTTGTTGCGGGTGGGTTAAGAAATGTTTCACACAATGTATGGCATTATCTTGTATATTGTGTTTAAAAAACAAAAACAAAATCGGGAATACTTTTTCTAAGAAGCGATTAAAAGTAAAGCATGACTATATTTCATCTGCTTCGTGGTTTTTTTTTCCCTCCTCAGCATCCAGATTTCTGTGGGTTCATACACGCACTTTGTGCGGTATTTACACTCAAATGCAGCTACGGCTTTCACGCTTCTGACAAGATGTATGAATGTTTGTCCATTCATCTCAAGGAATATTTGTGAAGTCATAGGTCACCAAAGTTAAAAGAGGGAGCCTGTCTCACAAGCTCTTTTCAAGTTCATCCCAACAGTGTTTGATGGGGTTAAAGGTCAGGGCTGTCAAGTTGTTCCACTCCAGACCCAATCAAAGCATGCCTTTACGGACCTTCGTTGCTGAATTGGGATGCAGTCACACGGGAAGAGAAAAGGGTGTTTTTCACTAAACTGTTCACACAGTGTGGGGTGGGAGCATTGCCAGGATGTATTGTATTGTATAAATCAAATCAAACCAACACACTTGTTGTTTTCAAATGACTTCATGTCTTTTAAGTTGCTAGTATTACAATGGAGCAGGGGCTGCTTATTGGTTTAAACTGAAAGGCATAAGCCACATCCAACCTCTATTTGTCTTTGGCTGCCTGTATAGAAATAGATTATCACTGCTCTGAAAGCATTGCTGGGTATGAATACATCATTAAAAAAATAATAATAATAAATTAAGTCATTATCCTTCTTATCTAATGCACACTAGCGTCACTCTAAATCATGGGGGGATTATATCATCAGTGTCTATAATGTTGTGCCCCTCTCATTTTCAATCTCCGTAGCTCCCACCTTTTAATTTTCCATAACATGGGCCTGCACTCATTTCGCCTGATATAATTTGATGACACCACTTACGTGCATATGACGAAAGACACAGATGAAGAACACAGAAAGACGAGAGAAATAGGACATGGAGCCTCCCCGGGTATTCCTTTAAAAAGACAGTGACGTCTGCAGGGACAGCAAGTTAAAAATTTCCCACCATTCTTTTTTGTTTGAGGTCATGGTTAACTTGGGAAATGGTGACGAATCTTGAGGACTGAAAAGTCCCCACACTAAGAGAAAAAGAGGAAAAAGAAGTTCATGTAATCCTGTTTAACCCTCTTTCACAATTGTGCTACAATAAGGGAACAACCTGGAGACGTGTCATTTCATCACCAGTGTAATTGATATTACCTAAACTGTAACTTATTTGTTGTATGGTTAAATATGAGCTTCTCATTAAATTATATGGAACCTTTATAATGTAAAGTTTATCTATTGTTACTGTATATGAATATATTCGCAGATGACGCAATTTAACAGTGTGTATATAACTACATCACCATGGTTTTAAAGCGACCTGCTACGTTAGCTGGGTCAAACACTGCAGCTACGGCCTTCGGAAGAAAATGAGCTTGAGTAGACATTTATGCTGAACTATAATAACACTTTCTGTGTCAAGAGGTCGCGTTGTCAAATGTGTCATTAGTATTGATTGTAGTTTGGATTACTGACAAATTATCTATAAAATAACAAATTCATGCTCAAAATATGTTATGCTCAAAGCAAAAAAGTTATTCTTCCTGTATCTGTTTGAACAGTCTTGAAATCAAAAGATAACCCATTGGCTGGCTTTGGGTCCCTTGGCGCTGCATTAACCTTGTAAGTGAAGCAAGTAAATCAGTCTGGGATGTGGCTATTTATACCCTCTGAGCCAATTATGGGAGTGATGATGAAGTGACCGAGAATGCAGAGCAACACCATAGATAGGCTGGGTAGTGTACAGGACCGCAAACTGTCATTATGTGCCACATTATGAGACAGTATAGTGCGAGGGGGGTGGGGGGGAGAGAAAGAGAGAGAGAGAGAGAGAATATACCCAATTTATTTTAGAGAATACAGTAAGTATTCCCACCTACGGACTTCTGTCAAAGGGAAATTCCCTCACCCGGAATAAAAACCTATGTCTTAAAATTTTGACTACGATATTACATTAACGATCGATTCATAACAACGGAAGTTCCGGTACCCGGAACCCGAAAGCCAGATGGAAACCCGCAGTAGCGCAGTCAAGCAAGTCCCGCCCCATACTACGGTGTGACCGCGCCTCTATTTACTCTCGTTGGATCCAAAAGGTCGACATGTAAGTGACTCTATTGGCATGAGTTTTACTGGAATCGCGAACGATTATCTATTTCATTCATTTACATTTACGTCCTGTAGATTGTGGCATCCAAACGAAAATGAACGATAATGACCGTGGAAGAGAGAGTGGAATGCATCCGATTAACTGCTCAGAGTAAATTGCTTGTGGCTCGACGGACAGTCGAGTAAACGAACGGTTCCTGGAATACTTTACCTGCTATCGTGCTAAAAACCTTCCGCTAACTGGACCGCTAATTCGAGAGAAGGCGAGTTGCATAACTCTAATTAACTACGGGCATTGAGGACTTCACCCGTAGCTGGTTTCAAAAGTTGGTTCCGCGACATCAGCTGAGCAATGCTATCTTGTGTGGTGATCGAGGGGAGGTCAAGTTAGAGACAGCGAATGAATGGAAAGAAAAGCCACCAGGACTGTTACTCGTCCTAATTTTGTGAC